TAGATAAATAAATTTCTATTCATAGAGATGGTAAAGTTGCGTAAAATTTTAGAGTAAATATTATAATAAGTAGAGTAAATTTTAGGAATAACAAACATAATGATCATATTAATGTTTTATAGCTATAATTTTGAATTTTTGATGATTGCGTTTCATAGCTATAATTTGGTTTGTTAAGAAGACCTTGATTTGTATAATTCGCGAATTAAGTTATAATTTTATACAAAATATTTTTTAAACAAATTAACTAAATATGAGCTAATTTATGTTTACTAAAAAAAGAAAATAATCTCATAACTCATGCACATTATATTTTAATAGGATTTGTTTCCTTTAATGACTTCTTCAGCAAGAAGAACACCATTGTAATTGGTTTCATGAAATCGAATAAGCTACAAACTTAGAGATCAATTTGTATATTTTTTTGTATCAATTTGTATATATGAACGAACAAGTTTGTATAATTCATTTTGTTGGCAAATCGAACAATAAAATTGTATTATGTTTGTCAAATCATTTATACGTTCAGGTGTAATGATATGAATTGATCGGTTCTGTATAGATTCATTTTTACTATGAACAATTGGATGATTCGTATATGGAACGTTTTAGTTTTTTTCTAGATTTGTATACATATACATTACATGTTCGTTTGTATCTCTGAAATTGCGTTTATATATTTACGTGAATTTGTATATGTATATGTTCTTTGTGTTATACTTTGTCATTTTTTATTATTAACAATTGGATGATTCATAGATGGAACGTTTTAGTTTTTTCTAGATTTGTATACATATACATTACATGTTCATTTGTATCTTTGAAAATTGTGTTTGTATATTTACATGAATTTGTATATGTATATGTTCTATGCATTATACTTTGTTATTTTTATTATGAACAATTGTGAATTTTTCATAAATTGTATACAAGCAGCTAGGGTAAACATATATAAATTAGAGATTTATACCATCAGAAACCAAATTATACAAAATTCTGATTTATACAATCAAACGAATTATACAATTTTGGGTGAATTATACAAATTAAACAAATAACAAGATTTTTAAAAATTATTGGTTGCGAATCATAATTTTCTAAAACAGTAGCTATAACATTTAATATCGTTTAAATATTTGCTATTCTGCACAATTTTCCCTAACAAGTAAATAAAACAAAGTGAATTTCCCTAATAGTGAACTTCTGCATATAGCCACTCAAAAATAGCTTAATTAAGCTCCATAACTATAGTTTGCTAATTATGATTCGTAGCTATATGTTATAGGGAGGAGAGCGGCAAGCGAGATTGAGAGAGGGAGGAGAGAGAGGCGAGCAAGAGATGGTAGAGAGTGTTAGAGAGGTGAATTATATATGTATATCGATTAGATAATTGTATATATATAACTGGTATACATATGTATTTGTATATTTGGCTAGCGAGATTGGGAGAGGGAGGAGAGAGGCGAGCGAGAGATGACAATAATTTGTATAATTCACATCTCGTTTGTATAATTTGCGGGTACATTTGTATAATTCGCGTATTTTTGTATAATTGAGTAATATAAAGTCTGGAATTATACAAATATGATAAAACTTGAAATAACGAATTGATACAAACATAAACATATGAACTTTAAATAGTTATACAAAATATATTATACAAATAACATTATATAAATTATATTATACAAAATCCAAAAACTACACGTTTATACAAACTTTAAAAAGTTATACACGAAAAGATTGAATGTATATATATATGGTGATAAAACTGAAAAACCAAAGGAAATCATCGTCATATACAAATACTAACCATCGTATATAAATACAAATCAAACGAAGAATTGTTAGTTTTGAGTTATACAAATGTGGCGAATTATACAAACGTGGCTAATTATACAAACTCGAAGTCACACACATAATTAATGGTTAATGTTAGTCGCGAGTGGTAATTATAGCAAACTATAACTATAATAACTAATTAAGTAGTATAAGTTAGCTTAACCGCGTAATTTTCCCTTCATATATTTACAAAATTTACTCAAGGCAAAATAATAATAATTTAAAATATAAATTTAGAAAATAATATAATTGTGGGATTTTAAAAATATTTTGGGATAAAATTTTATTGTAGTTAATTGAATCTTAGCCATAAAATTAAATTTATGTCACATGTCATTAATTCAAGTAGGAATAAAAGAAAAATGGAGAAAAACCAGATCCGTATTTAATTTTTATGAGCTATAAAAGGATACTCTTGGTTAACTTGATTATTCAAAGTGAAAATATTAAAGCACAAATACTATCTAAGACTACATTTTGAGTGTATCTCTAGAAGAATAATGGCAAAGCTTTTGATCTGTGTCCTCATTGTTATTCTATTTTTTGGTACTCAAAAAGCTTAACTTTGTTTTACATCCAACATTCAATTCTTCTTCTTCTTTTTTTTTTTTTTGCATTTTTTATTGCGAGAAGTGCTTACCATCTAAATAATTTTTCTTGTCTAAAATTCAATACTCGTTATATATTGTTATAATACTTACCTGATAATATCAATACACTTGCTTGACTCTTCTTGTTTATTCAATGCAGTTGGAACAAATGCTGACGTGTATTATTGCTACCAGATACATCCTGATATAAAGTGCGATGGACAAAAAGTTAAGCCAAAATGTGTGGCATTATGCAAGAAAAAGCTTGGACCCAAAGCTGATGGAATATGCGTTCGTGACTCTCAAGGTTTTATATGTGCTTGTCGTTACCCTTGCTAATCACCCCTTCATATCTTAATAAACTTTAATTATTGCTAAATGCAATATAATTTTGGCTATCCAATTTGATGTAATATCAATCTCAGTGGACTTTATATTTTGAGATTTGGTTAATACCTAATTCTATTATTTAACTTTTGCTTCTTTTATTCATTTTTACCATAACAATCAAAGGAACAATACACCTAAAGAGCACACTAGAGATCCAATCCCCCCTTTCCGGGGTTATTTAGTTGGAAACAAGTTATCTCAAGATTAATTACTATAAGTTATTCCATCATATATATATGCGATAATTTATTCGATCACTAAAACATAGATGATGGGATAAATAATCTCAAAGTTGACTTAACACTTCCAACCAAACATTGAATAAAATAATTATGCATTTTATCCTGAGATTAATTATTATACTTTAGACCTTACGCCAAACAATTCCTTAGTGCCTTGAATACACCAAAAAAAAAAAAAATTCAACATTAAAATAATAATAAAAAAGAAGCATAGTTGACTATTCGACCCTCAATTTTGATTTTTGCCTACGTAATAAATGTTCAACATTAATGAAGATGTGTCTGCTATTTATTCTGTGAAATGAGTCAAAAAGAGTATATATTTGACCACCCAAGTGGTGCAATTTCTAATCAAAATAAAAAAAATGTTGTTTTGATATGTATATGCTATTTTTTCTTCAAGGGTACTCTATCATCAAAATAAAAAATAGTTTTAATTCTGAGAAGATAATATGATTTATTATTTTTAGTTTCTCACTCAGTGTCTGATATCTGTTTTATGGTCTAACTAAATCAAAATTCACATTAGAAGTCGACTCATATCAGGGGTAAACACTCTTTAGTAAAGGTGACTATATACCTAAGGCTCGACATGACACTTATAATTAAGGATGAATGAATACTTATCATTCTACCACAACTTTATCAGTAACAAATGATCCCATGAATGTGTGCAACTAAAATCAACCAAAATAAAGTACTATTTCTTTCTATTTCAATTTATGTATTTTTATTTTATTTTTTTAATCTGTTTAATAAAGAATGACCATCGAATATAAAATATGAATTATGCCATATAGGGACAAAGTGAACGTAGTTATAAGAGTTCATCTTTATTTCACCCACCCCACTAGGATCTAGAGTAGGTAGTGGAGGAGGAGTATGTTCCAAGACATAATGATTTCATTTGGTCTTGGGGAGGTAGAAAGTTTGGGCGTGGAAATATAGCTATCCATGAGAAAGAGAGTATATTCAAACTATATATTATAATAATAATAGATGAACATGGGGGCTTTACCAAGGCCAAAGTAAAAGAAAAATTACAATTATCTCATTAATTAGACACAAGATAAGAAGAAAGAGTATACTTCCTCACTATTCAAATGGACAATGATATCAACTTCGATGGTTTTGATTAAATTTACTTGTTATATTTTCACTTTGACACATATTCATTAAAAATATAATGACTGATAATTATTTATTATACTATTTCTATTAATTGATGTTTAATATTATGTCTTAGAGAATATTAAATATGATAAGTAGAAGTGAAAATCTATTTTTAAAAGCAGAGGGATCGTAACTAATTATGCTCCCTTATTCACTTTTACTTGTCCAACACTTAAAGCTTAATGACTATTTACAACCAGTTAATCCAAACGAGCTAGCTCGTAATCAAATAGCTATAGAAAGGGATACTTGAAAGAGAAAAAAGAATGCCGTAAATAGGAATTAAATTAAAGGATAGAAACTACCCACTATATATGATAGTGGAGATGGACCACCAAAGGATGTGGTGTGGATGAGGTTGTTCCTCCCTTATTAAGGTCTCAGAGTTGAGCTTGGATATGGAAGAACCTTTACTAGGAAGCGCTTCCCCTCAAATGGGCCCTTATATATGCAATACAAATTCAAAATAGTCGGGATTTAATGTGAGTATTAGACATAGAGTTGAGCTTGGATATGGAAGAACCTTTACTAGGAAGCGCTTCCCCTCAAATGGGCCCTTATGCAATACAAATTCAAAATAGTCGGGCTTTAATATGAGTATCAGACATCAGATGAAAACAGAAGATAGTGGAAATGGAGGTGTGGAATGAAAGAGAACATACTATGTTGAATAGGGCCCAATAGGAAAGAAAAAGGCATAGGAAACAAAAGGCCTAGTTGATGCTAGGATAAATAGGATCAAATACTCTATTCAATCCTCCCATTTCACAAAGTTTTGTGTTGCAAAAGAAAACAAACAGCATAGAAAGGGTGAGTTTTAAAAAAAGAAAGAGGACAACAAGTGGAAAGGCACACAAAGCCATCAAAAATATAAAGGTTATGTCTTTTCATCATCTTTCATTGATCTCTTACGATTCTCCTTTTATCATAAATGAAGTAGAATCCAAGTTTTTGATCCCCTTCTCTTTATTATTCTTACTTTTCCTCTTTTTGTGTAAAAAAAGAATAAAGATGATTATCAAACAAGTCTAAAGTTCTTCAACCTCAAACTTGTTTTGTAGTGATTTTAAACAATCATACACTTCACACTCATAGAGCTAGGTGTAAAGATTTAACTTATATATACTAGTAAATGTAAAGATTTTCTATATTATACTTAGCTAGCTTTTGATGATAAATTTTGGATCAAAGAATTTGAAAAAAATTATGTTCAAATATCTATTTCGATATAAATTTTGAAAATATAGCTTTAAAAAAGTTTCAACTTTCAAAAACTGGTGGTTCACACTATGTTTTGAGAGAAATTTTACTTCTATTTAAATATCATGTTTTGAATATCACAACTTCAAAATTTAAAATTTCAAGTTTCAAAATTTCAACTTTAAAATTTATGATCAAATCATAGCTAAGTGTATTGTCTTTAGAAGCATACTTTTTTAACGACTACTTGTAGTTTTTATTTAGGTCATAATTAACCTTTTCTCATTTAGGTAACTTGATAGTGTAAGAATTGTATTATCGTATATATTGTCCGTATAGAAAAAAAAGTAAGCCTTAACGATAAAATTGTCTCCATCTAATAAACCTATATATAAATCACAAGTTCCATCAATATGCGTCAGAATAGACTTTTTTAAGATACAACCTCATGTATGAACACAAAATATATACTTTGTACATCAGACTGTTTTTTGTCGATTTAGTAAAGTTAAGCTCATAAATATATAATCTTCCTCAGGATATATATCAAAGCTATGTATGGAAGTGGAAATAGATCATCAATTCTTCCATGGAATAGCTTCAACACACTTGAAGATCCATTTATTATTCATGGATCATCATATTATGGAGATTTATTCAACAAAATTATACCTCAATTTCCATGTCAACATCATAATGAAGTGCAAAAAATGATGAATTCTCAAGAAATAATGGATGCAAAGGCACTTGCTGCCTCAAAAAATCATAGTGAAGCTGAAAGAAGACGTAGAGAAAGAATCAATAATCATCTTGCTAAATTACGTAGCCTTCTCCCAAGCACTACTAAAGTAAGTTCTTAATTTAATTTCTCATGTTTAATTAATTGAATTTACTTCCCTATCTATATGTATATACAGATATTTCTAGTGCAATTTTATAAAGTATTTTAGGTTGCAAGTTTGAATACCAAGTGTGTGTTAATTATCTTATATTTGTTTTGATTTCCTTGTTAGGGTTCTAGACCCTATATTAAGTTCTTTTTTGTTTCTAGTTTCGACATTTAGTGGGCGTTTGACTATATTTTATTTTGAAATTTGAAAAAGAAGTAGTTTTTGTTATCAAAGTAAGATAATTTTGAGTTATTTGATCATGAATACAATTGGAGATGTTGTTTTTGACTTCTTATGAATAATTTGAAGTAAAAACACTTTTAAGTTGTTTTTCAGTTTCTTATAAATTATGAAATTCAATGTTGAATTTCGAAATTTTCTGACTTTTTTTTTTTTTTTTTTGGCGTTCAACTTTGAAAAAATGAAAAATTTCCATGATCAAGCACCTTAACTTAGATCCTTCAAGATTTTCATTTTGGATAGCTAGGATCGATAGGATGATGATAACGAATACTCGAAATTTTACACTACACAAATGAGTACTTTTGTATATCAAGTATAAATGACTATTACTATTTTGATCATGCCCAATACTGTTTCCATTCCATTTTTATTTTTTTTTACTGTTTGGAGGGTTAAACAATCTTTTTTTTTGACTCATAGTATTTTTTTATATAGTTAAAATATACTAATATATAAAGTTTTTTTTAAAAAAAGTTAATCAAAAATAGATATGTTGGCGCTTATACTCCGAATTCCTTCACATTGGAGTACTATTACTCTAAGTCGTTACACTCGTATTCCAACTCTAGTAAAAGATCTCTCTCATAATTCGAATTAATAGTATCAGATAAATTGAGACAGTAAAAATAATAGTACACTGTATTTAGGTACACTATAAAAATTGTTGCACTTTTGATCATTACACTGATTGTATTCTTAATTTCGAGGAAATTAGGAAAAGCAACGTTAATGTCGCTATATGATAAAGAGAAACAATGGAGCAGTTAAAAAGCTTCCATGAAAATCTATTTGCCACTTTTTTAATGTTGAGGTACATATTAGTCAAAATAAAAGCATATAAAATCAACAAAAGGAAAAAAATAGAGGTTAAAAGGCAGACAAACAAAGCATTCTTGTCAGTCATGCTCATACTTAAAAAATTCTAAATAATCCTTCCCATGCCTAGCCTCAAAATCCACTTTTTGTGGTTCATTTGGAATTACTTTTTGTAAATGAAATGGATTTTAGGTCTAATTTCGTTTGAAAAGTTAGTTTATGAGGCGAAGATGTTTAAGTAAAGAAATTATCTATTCCTTTATGGGATTCTTTAGTATTCTATCTTATATTCAGAGTTGGACATTTGAAGCGTGAATAATATAATATGGGGGTTCAAGGTCGGTAATAATAATTGAAATAAACCCAACTTTGATATCAAAGTAAATAAATAAATTTTGAGTCTAACTCAATCTCAAAAATTAGTTCACGAGGGAAAAATTGTCCAATGTCATATAAAGCTATGTTATTCAGACTCTTCAAAAATGTCGACAAGTACATATCGTGTCCTGCAAAAGTAGTGCATTTTTGAGAGATCTGACATATAGATATGACAACAATTTTGGAGAATCCATACAGACCCCTAAGTAGGTCAACAATCAATATTATTAAGTAGAACTACTTATTGCACCTATACACCTGATTGTGTGTATATACACTATTAGAACATAGAATATTGAACTTTTTTTTCCATGTTCAATGTAATATATCTTTATAGTTTTACTTGATGTCTTTTTTTTAATATTGCACAGACAGATAAAGCATCACTATTAGCTGAGGTGATACAACATGTAAAGGAGCTAAAGAGACAAACATCACAAATAGCCCAAACAAATCCACTAATCCCAACTGAGATTAATGAATTAGCAGTTGATTATTGCAATAATGAAGAAGGAAATTTCATGATCAAAGCTTCATTATGTTGTGAAGATAGGTCTGATCTTTTACATGACCTAATCAAGACCTTAAAATCTCTAAGGTTAAAAACACTAAAGGCTGAAATAACTACACTTGGTGGACGTGTGAGAAATGTCTTGTTCATAACAAGGGATCAACAACAAGACGACGACGATACGTGGCCGATCAATGATAATGATAATGATAATGATGATGATCAAATGCAATATTGTCTAAGATCAATTCAAGAAGCACTTAAAGAAGTTATGGAGAAATCTAATGGGAATGATTCTGGTAATTCAGGGAGTATTAAGAGACAAAGAACTAGTAATAATAATATACACTACTAAAAAAATAAATAGGAATTGTCGTTACGTAGCTAAACAGTAAAATTCATCGCTAATTCTGTATAGCGATTGGTTATTTGATGATAGCTAATTTTAGTAGTCTTTCACTTAGTATGTAGTCTAATTTGCTTTTCTTTTTTTAATTCTTCTTCCATAATAAAGTATGTGTTATTTTGGGTGTGTATTGACCTTTTGATATTGTTTTTAACCTCTAAAAAAAGTATAATATATAAACATTTTGAATTTCTCCCCATTTGTCCTCTTCAATTTTATTTTATTTTTGAGAAATTAAGAACTCAAACTTTTACTTCTGAGTCCACAGAATTTAATATATTCATAAACTTACTTTGAATATAAAAATTTGAAAGAATAATGGTATTCTCTGTTCTTCATAAAAAACAGTGATCTATAGAGAATTGGAAGCCTTTTATTTTATTTTATAAATTTTCGTCGTCTGAGGTGTTATAAATCAGAAAGAAAGTTACAAGAGGACTTGGACTTAGCCTCCGATTACAACACAAGGATAACCACGGCTTTATCCTTAAAAAAAGAGGGGAGGTGAAGCTAGAAATATATAGACATTCCACCCCTCGCAAAACTAGACTACTTATACGACTAGTTAACAAAAAAAAATTGCCTCATCGTATTTGGTCCTTATTGAAGGCATTTGGTTCTTGTCGAGTTGGAATGGACCTTTAGCCCCCACAAGAAGTTGATGATAGGAGTTATATAAGGATTCATTATGACTGTTAACCGCAAGTTTGACTAAATGATCTGCTACCTCGTTAGCCTCTCTGAAACAATGCTCCACCTTGACATTAGTGTGTTTCTTCAATTATTGTAACCCCTCTCTGATCAGGTTCAAGCTGAAATTGCAGCATTTGCCTTCATTAATCACCTTCACAATAGCTAGTAATTGATATCTCAATGGTAAAGAAGGGGCCGTGGAAATACTTTCCGCGCTTGAGTTGTAGATTTGAACCTCACTATCAACAAAAATTTCTCTTTATGCTTTGCAATAGTTTTGGATAAGAAATTGGAATATATGTCAAGATTGCTCTACTTAATTTTGTAACAACTTGAGTGCCCTGTACATGACCATAAAAATCCAGTATTACATGTTAGGACTAAGCATGTAGAATTAGAAGAGGGCATTTTTCCACCAACTTACAACTTACCATATCATTGTGTTGTTACAAAATAACATTTTTAAACCTAAAGAAAACGTTAAGGACATTTTAAAACCTTTTCCGCTCTTTGTATCAATCTTGTTCACGTTCTAGTTGTCAAGTCTAAACATGCCAAAGATTGTGAGTAGTTCCACATCAATGTATAACATGAATTTGTGTATAACAACACAAGAAAGAAAGAAAGGGGTGGACCATTTTGGTGATAAGAGAAGACATGTAAGAGACATTAATGGGTAGTGGGGTTGAATTGAATAAAGAATATAGGCCGTTATAAGTGCACGTGAGGGAGGATAAGGCTTGTCATTTTGGCTCATAACATTGTGTTTGGAGGGAAGAGGGAATGTCTGTTTCTTGGATTAAGATGGCTAACTATGTGTTAGTCCATATGGCCGACACCTTATTCTAATTTCATAGTTATATATTATTTATATAATATCGATACACTACGTATACCTACATAGTTAGGAAAAACTATCTTATTAAATATATATCTATATCAAGTATATTAATTTCACCTATACTTTCAAATATATGTATTTTATCATTGATTAAGAGTTCACTATCATGTATTGAGAAAGATACATGTGTTTTTATTACCAGATACATTAAAATAGGAGGAGAAGCGAGTGAGATAGTCATGTATACTAGATACATGCGAACCACACTAGATATATGCATATGTATGTATCTAGTGTGATATACATGAATTTGGGATACCATATACATAGGAGAGTACTGACGAGTAAGATGGGAGGAAGGCTAGAGAGGCAAGTGAGATTTGTTATGTATTTCCAAATACATGCGAATTCATTTGAATACAGTGTATCTAGAATAAATTACACATAATCTTGACTACATGTATCCCTTGATACATGGATCTAGACATATCAAAATTTAGTAAAATTTATAATATTGCAAACTAGTCCTAAACTAGTGAAATTTCTATAAATTTATATTAAATATAAATATCAATAATTTTATTGATTTTTTTTTTGGATTACCTATACAATTATGTAAGAAGCCACTCTTGAATTGTTTGTCTTTGATATGTTCCTTTTAAGGGGCAATTGAAGAGTGGAGAGGAGGGATGGACAATTAACCAAGTATGATTTTCTGTTTTTTTTTTTTTTTTTATTAAAATCTTCTCTCTGTTCCAAATCTTTTGGGCGGTTTTTATTTATATTGACTTTTCCTTCTTTTCTACTTGTTTGGATGATTGCTACATTGTTTTATATTATACTAATATATATGCCCGCGCATTGCGTGGTTAGTTGATAAATATAATCATAAATTTTAATCTATTGCAAATTTAAAATTTTAACTTATTATAAGATATCATTTTAAAATTTATTGAGAATGCTAATAGCATCTTGATGTGTTATAGTAAAATATTTATGTAAACAAATCAATATATAAGCTTAGTTATTTGTCTAAATTTGACAATAATAATCTTTTAATCATTATTTAATTTATTTATTTTTTAAATTATTTAAAATAATAACGACTATCACTCTCTTCATATTATCCACTTGTTAGAATAATAAAGATATAAGAAAATTTAATAGTTAGATTAAAATTAAATATAACTAAGAAAAGTCGTATCATAATGCTAAGCATACAACAAAAAAGTTAGAATCACTTGGATATCAAACAAATGTTAAATTTTAAATATGTGCAGTTACAATTTAACCAATAATTTTATAAGATACCATTATTACCAAACAAATGCTACAATTTAAATATGTGTAGTAGTAACGTTAACAATATCTAAAATAATAAAAATTTAAATCCAGCGAATTCATATATGAAGCCTGCAAAAACAAACAAACAAACTTAAAATCATTAAGAAAAAAAATTAAAAAAGAAACAACAAAAACTAATAGTATCGAATTAAAAGCTGCTAAGAAAAATGTTAAATTTCACAAAGATAATTGATCACATCATACCTATAATAAAATGCAGGTAGAAATGTTGATTTGTCCCATTGGGATGTCTATTAGATCATTTCCTTGCCATTATTGAGATTTGAGAATAAAGAGAACAAATTGAAAAACAGATTGAAAATAGTAGACAGTAGATTTATTTAAGAAAAAAAACTCGAGAAGTTATAACTGTTTTACAGTTACATCTCAGAATTTTAAAATTGTTTTAAAATTATTTTCATTTAATTAATTATAATTTATATTTAATTAATTTTAGTTATTTTAAAAATATGTTTTTTGTGGTGCTGACATGTGGCACTTTTTCCTCTCCTATTATATATAGATAGATTATATTATATTATATTATATTATATTATATTATATTATATTGTATTGTATTGTATTGTATTGCATTATATTATTATATTATATTATATTATATTATATTATATTGTATTGTATTGTATTGTATTGTATTGCATTATATTATATTATATTATATTATATTATATTATATTATATTGTATTGTATTGTATTGTATTGCATTATATTATATTATATTATATTATATTATATTATATTATATTATATTATATTATATTATATTGTATTATATTGTATTGTATTGTATTGTATTGTATTGCATTATATTATATTATTTCGATAAATATTATTTTTTTGATCTATTTCATATTGACATATGCCAATAATTTAAGAAATATTTTGTAATTTTACTTGTTTATGTTTAACTTGATAGATACATAAGAAATAATAAATAAAATAATATTTTTATTATATTACTCCTAATTATTATAAAAAGTCATTTAAATGTTGGGAAATGACAAATATTTAATACCAAGGATAAAATATCTTTAAAAATGATAAGTTATCTCTTGATTTATTAAATTAACAAGTAAATACTACAATTACTAGTATGATCATGCACACATCATCATCATAACATTTTCATTTTTTTCAACTTTCTACTTCTAAATGTGAGAGTACTTGATTGACCAACACTCCGCTCCATACAACATGGTTAGTCTAATTATCACTCTATTAAACTTGCCTTTAAGTTTTAGTGGAATCTTTTTTCCATACACTCCGGATGTGAGCCTTCATTTCATGCCCCTGCACCACTTCGATGTGTGACATCTTCGTCAATCTCCATATTTCTTTGAATAATAGATTCAAGATACTTGAAACTTCTTCTCTTCTGAATGACCCGTGTATATCAAGCCCCATTTCTTCACTGCCTCATTTGTTAGGTTATTGAACTTGCACTCTCGGTGTTAGTCTTAGTCCTGCTCAACCTGAACTCTTTAGACTTCAGAATGTGTCTCCAAAACTCCAGCTTTGCGTTGATTCTATCACGAGGCTCATCAATTAGAACCATGTCATCCATAAATAACATATCCCATGGTACCTCACCTTTAAATTTGTTGTTGCATCAATACATTTATCACCAAGGCAAATAAAAACGGATGAAGGGTTGATCCTTAATACAACCTCATTAGAACTTGGAAGTGCTTTAAATCTCCTCTCATTGTCTTTATCCGAGTCTTTACTTCATAGCACATGACATTGATCACCTTAGTATATGTCACATATACACCTTTAGTCTTCAAGCACTTCCCTTGGGACTTCGTCACAAGTCTTTTCTAGGTCAATAATAAACACCACATGCAAGCCTTTTTTTTTCCCTTATCGATACTATATTCTACTGATCTCCTTAGAAGATGAATGAATTTTACAATAACAAATAAAATAGAATTACTAAATAAACAAGGAAAAAATAAAAGTAAAGTGATTACATCACATCGTATGGTATATAAAATGGCACTCCATTTTTAATAAATTATGATATTAAGTTAATGTACTAAAATGAGATTCAAATCTCATGTAGAGGCACAACTTTTAGAACCCTTCATGAGCCATCTCTCTACCTCTCTTTTCCACAATACTAATTCAAGTATATATATATTAATAAATCACTAATCATGTATTGGTATACCCAAATTACTTAATGACGATTATATGAATTCTTCATATTTTTTGTTCTATTCTATTTGGTTTTATTTAATTGTTAATCGTAATACTAACTACCCCAAAATCATAATTTAGTAGTGGAGACCTAAATGTCCTTTTCTAATCGTACATACTGTTACGTTTCTAATCAAACTAGAGATTATATTACTCATTATCACCAAATTGCATGATTAGAGTAGTTTAATATAATTAAATACCCCTTTCCAATAATTGTACAAGTTGACAATAAGAAAGAGAAAACTCGAGAGATATCCTGTTTTTGTACTAGTATAAGGTAACAAATATCCTGTGAAATTAATTGAGGTGTGTATGATTTTGCCCCAATATCACAACTATATAAGAAGGGGGAAACATTTTTTGTTCGTATATATAACTCAATAGATCGACGATAAGGGTATATATAACCCAAAAGATTGACGGTAAGAGTATGAATAACCTTAAAGTATATATAAGGGAGGGTATTGACATACCATTTATAAAGTTTGGGGGTATATTTTATTTTAAGGAAAAACACTTTCTAGACATGCTCTTGTAATATACTACCAAAAAATTAAAGGAATATATAATTAGACTAATTGACAAAATTAATATATATTATCTTGATTTGGACAAGGAAAAGAGAAACAAAAAATCATTTGCATAATATTCTGCCTTGTTATGAAAAAAAAAAGGTTTCTTCCTAATTTCTAGCTAATCAAGTACTTGGCTAACTAATCAATGATAATTAGTACTCAACAAGAAAATCAAGCAGATTTAAGTCTTAGCAATTATCATCTAGATTTTAGTTAAACATTTGTGTCTTATTTGTAAAAAAAATCACACCAACAATGACAAAGGAAAGAGAATTTGTTGAAGATGGACCAATAATTAAAATGAACCTCTAGATTCTACTACTATTTTTTCTCTACTAACTTTTATTATATATATAACTAATTAACTTGATTTATTTTGGATTGTGACATCAATTACTTCAAAGAATTCATGAGTCTACATAAGATTGGAAATTTAACATTTGTTTACCTTGAAAAAAAATATGATGTAATTTATATGTGCCATTTAAAGAATAAGAAATATTGCTTCGATCGAATAAGACAAAAATACTAAGCAAGTAATAAGTTTAGTTATTAAAAAATCGAATATGTTATTAGAGCAAATAAAAATTGGTCATATGTGTCTAGCAAAACAAAAAAAGTTGGACTGAAAAACTTTATTGCTAGTCTGGTACCTTTGACTACTCTGCTCCCTCCAAAAAAAAAGATGGGCAGAATTTCTTGAGCTTTTTCTGTACGAATAGTGAAGAAGTATAGAAAATTTTAATTGGTTCTAACCAACGGAAAGTATGGAAGAAGAAAAGGAAGAATTTACACAAATTTTTTTCTAAGAAAGAGATCATAATAATTGCTGGCTCTTTGCGAAATGAAATTGACATTTATCTTTTTTTTTTTTTTTACTCTCCCTAGCAGCTCCTACCCCTTTTGCTCCTTTGGTGACTTGAACTCGCAATCTTCGGGTTAGAAGTGAGGGGTGCTTACCATCCGAGCAACTCCCTCTCGTCGAATTGATGTCTATCAATTTAAGTCAAATTAACAAATTTATTACCATTAAACAAACTTGGTTGACGAACTTAGTTTATGCCGGCTTGTTGAGGATTTGAAGTCTCAAGACTCTCAACATTATCAAAGCTAACAAAAAAAATGAAGCAAAAGTTAAAGAATTGGGAAGGAAGTATACCTGTACTCAAAAACTTCAATCAAAATTCAAAACTAATAGTATTGTCTATGATTGAACCTATTCAATGTATACAAGAGGCCTCAAGGACCTAAATTTAGTATACAAAATTCTCAAAAAAAAATTAAAAAAATCTAACATACACTATTTCTTTGTACTATATATGGACAATTGATAAGTACCCTATAAGTCCATAAGCCAATTTTGTTGAATGAATTAATTTCAATCATTCCAACAAAGAAGCATAACTACACATCTCCTAATTATGTAAAGCTTAGCTCTTTGTTCTCTAAGGACTCTTCCAAGTCCTCTACTTGAAATCAACTTCTTCTTGGAACTTCCCATTCTGTTGTTGTTGTTATTGGTGCTCATCTTCATCTTGTAACTTGATTCGTCGCGACGAAAAATCAAGAATTTTTTTTAAAAAAAAAATTGGTTATTTGAAGGAATTTTTTGTATACAACAAGGCAAAGTGATGGATGTGTTCTAGCTATTGTTGTTGTGCAGTGAGTATATTGAAGAAACAAGTTTGAATGGGGAAAATGTAAGTCCAAGATGAGGCTCTTATAGGCTTGTTTAGAGTGTGGTCCTAATTTAAAGAAAATGACATAAAATGGCCCATTATTTTTAGTAGGGGTTCAAAGTAAACCCTTAAGTATTATTTGAGTAGTTTTGTGTCCTTTAAGTTTGTAAAAATTGAAGACTTTTCGGCTTTGTTAGATATTTGTTTATCAGATTATGATTGTTAAAAAATAACTAGAACTGAGAAAATATTTAACGAGGAAGTCAAATTTGAAAGTACAATTTTTCTAGTTTATGCTAGTTTTGGTCTTTTTGAGGTGCAGCTTCTGTTGGTTTGTTTTTGTTTGGTGCATACTTTTATTATGTTGCGAAATATGAGATTATGACGAATTTTTTTAGTGTTCTAGTAAAATCTTTTTTCATGTCTCAAATCGATTTTGACAATTAGAGTTGGGTAAAGTTGATCAGATAAAGATTAAAAGTTCTCATTTTCGATAAATTTAAAGGACTAAAATTACTCGGATAATACTTAAAAGACTATATTGAACATACTACTAAAGCTAAGGGGTCATTTTTGTCATTTTCTTTCCCAACTTGTATTGATTGAGTCATGAACCAAATATGGGTCCCACTTTCCACTTGTAACCTACCCCCCATCCCACCCACCCCACCCCTTCACCACAACCACAAGGAAATAAAGTAATAGTAACATCCATATTCTTTGTCCCCCACACCTTCATCCTAACAAGTATAATATATAATGATAGAGTATTTTGTTCTATTTAATTTGTATGTTACATCATGTCTGATCAATGTTTTGGAAGACAAAATCAGAATAATATGTCTTAGACTCGTGCTAATTCGAAACATTCTCCCTAGAGGATTAAGACATGCATATAAATATTGTTTATGAGAACAATGTATTGATATAGGTGAAATGTTCACTTTGTTATTTGGTGTTTGCTTATTTTAACTTTGTTATTTATATGCATCATTATATTATACACCTAGATATTTGATTGTTACTATTTCTTTATTAGTTGCTTTGTTTCTTCACTTGCGTTTCTCTTTGTTCATATTTATTTTGATATGTTGTACCCGAACTGAAGGTCCTTTGAAAACAATATTTTTACCTTCACGATGTAAGGGTATGGTTTGCAGACAAGGTGTAGAGCTAGTAAGGGCCCGGGGTTCATCCAAACCCCTTTTGAGGAAAAATTACACGGTTTATTTATATATTGTTAAAATTATCTTTTAATGTATATATAGTAGATGTTGAACCTCCTTCAATTTCTTCGTGTATCAATATTTTCATATTTTGAACTTCCTTAAGAAAATACTGGCTCCACTACTATATCTGGAACATACACTCTACCTTTCTCAAAGCACATTTATGAAATTTCACAGGGTAAATTATTGTTGTTGTAACGTAATTCTCCTAATTAGGGTATCCATAGATTTGCTTTTCAATAAATTAAAGCCTTCGTCCCATGATAATCATGTGTGTGTGTCCCATACATTTAAAACTCTTGTCTAGCAACGAATATGACCAAACAGAAAAAAGAAAGAAGATACTAATCAAATTGCAACTCTTTTTTGTTACATTTCTAGTGTTTAAAGGTGTAAAATTGCTTGCATGTCACAATCCAAATACAAATGTACCGGCAAAAATAAGGTAGCATTAAAGAGATATAGTTCCCAAACCTTAAAATATAATCTACACCAACAAAGAGTCTATGGACGGTAAATAATGTTAGGCCCCGTAAAAATTCGTACCTTGAATTAAATTAATTTCCGAGGTTAAAATATGATCAAGTTCGGAAATATGGGACCTACACATGAATAACGAGATTATAACAATGTTTGAAGAAGCTAAAACGAGTTTAGGAGTGTTTTGAACTCTAGAACGAAGAGCCAAAATATCAAGGAGAGCAAAAAGAACAAAGGCATAGGCGAGTTACCACCATAAACAAGAAACCCCATGAGGTATATATAGAATGGTAGAAGTTTATCATCCTTATTTAGAGAATTCAACTTGAATTTAAAATTTTAAGCTTATAAGGTCTCAATCATAATAAATTTTTTAATTTTATCAGGTTTTGAATGAATTATTATCATACTAAGTGCATTTTCCTTAACTAACTAAAGAATTTAAGCAAAAGCTATAGCGAGTTTTGTCAAATCCGACAACTCTAATAATAAATTCAACACGATTAAGTAAAAACTTATTTTCTTAGAGAAATTTTATTTTTCTAAATTTTTTGATTAACTGAACATGAGAAAATGAAAAAATATTTTTCTCCATGCCGAACACACCCATAAAGTGAAAACAATATTATTATATTAGTGGGATCCTCCTAAAGTTTAATTAGGTATTAATGGGATTATTTAGTTGATTCCTTCTAAAGGATGCACATTTTCAAAGTTTGATGACTATAGTCGATCCTGTAATCCTCCTTTTTGACTAACACAAACACTAACACTTGCATTCTTTGTTTCCATAATGATGTGGATTATCATTATAAATCTAACACTAATGATGACCAAAAGTAAGCTCCCATGATGTTAAATGACTCCAATATTAATTCATTTCAAAATTAAATACTCCACTTGACACACTTTTTAAGATGCCCAGTGTTTAACTAAAAAGTAAAAACTTTCAAAGAGTTAATTACATTGCGAGTCAAAAAGTGTATAAATTAAATATTGCAGAATTGCATAATTAGACGTACTTCACTATTATATATATATATATTATTATTATTATCTATACATTTAAAATATTATGTATTTTATCACTAATTAAGAGTTTCTTACCAAATACCATATATTTAGAAATATACATTTAGATACATGTATTTTTGCTACCAGATACACTAAAATAGGGAAAGAGGTGAGCGAGATTATGTTATGTATCCTAGATCATGTGAATCACACTAGATACATCTATATATATGTATCTAGTATGATTCACTATCTGAGATACCATATATATATACATATATATATGGGAGTGGTGTGAGATGGGAGAAAGGCGAGGGAGGCGAGCGAGATTTGTTATGTGCATCCCAAATACACTGTGAATCCACTTGGATACAATGTATCTCGAACAAATTTGACCACATTATCCTGAGATACGTGTATCTGGACGTATCTAGACGTGTCAAATACACTGTGAATCCATTTGGATATAATGTATTTCGAACAAATTTGACCCCATGTATTCTGAGATACATGTATCTAGATGTATCTAGACACATCAAAATTTAGTAAGCTACGTAATATCGCAAACTAGAATATATCTAAGTAATTAGCTCCTAAACTAGTGAGATTTATGTAAGTTTTCTTTTAACGTGTTCTCATAGTAATAGCTAAAAACGAAGAAATAATTGAGACCAAAAAACAGAAAAAAAAGAAGTTCTTTTATAGGAAATTCTGGTCAATTAATTAAATAATTGCATCATCAACATAAATCTTGTTTTTTTTTGGGGGGAGGAGGGGGGGGGGGGGGGTAGGGGTAAAGTTCTCATCATTCAGTTTATCATGCTTAGACCTTATTAGCAAATCAGAAGAAAGATAATCAATTGTAGATAAATCGTAAAAGAAAAAATCAAAAGGATGGAGTCCACTAAATTTCTTTTCTACAAAAATGATAGTAACATCATTTGCTTCTTTTTAGACGTGCTTAAACAATACTAAAGCTTTGGGAGTAGTTTGACCAACTTGCTTTATATTGGATTGTAACAAAAAAAAAAGTCGCCCGATTTTCGGAGCACACATTGGAGTCTTGACTAAATCTGAATCGCGCACTGCATGACCCATTTGGGTGTGACGACAGTGGCAGAACCAGAAATTTCACAAAGGGTGTCCAAAAAAGTGAACCAAAAAGTTGTTGCTAGTGAGATTCAAACACATGAGCATCCTAAGCATTGGCTCTTTCAAGGTGTCTAAAACCACTGGGCTACAACACATTGTTATGTCAAGGATGTTAAAATATGTTATTTAATCACTTCGTGTATCATTTTACTTATATATACGTTATTATTTTCCGAAGAAGGGTGTCCAATTAGACACCCTGACAATAACATAGCTACATCCCTGTGTGGCGCTCCTAACATATGATTTTCTACATATCCAAAACTCAAATTTGAAATCTCTAATTAAGGGTGAAGCAGTCCCACCACTGCATGCACCACAACTCATGTTGGTGGATTGTGACATTAATTGTGCTTCAGATGATTTATTGACCTACATATGTTAATTAATAATATATATATATATCATTATAAAAAAATGAGCTTTAGATATTATGCAAATCTTTTGTAATTATACTTCTCTTCATCTTCATAATCATTCTAAGGGATGGCAACTTAGTCGCCTAAAAGGATCATAGCAGGAAAAGATAAGAATAGATGGAGAAAAGAATAAGGTTTAAATTTTGGATTCAAGAAGGTTTGATAGATTGCACATAATTAGATGTATCATGTTGAAATCAAAATATGGTAGGAGTTGTAATATCGAAAACTCACGAGAAGATAGGTAATTAGCCCCTAAACTAATGTGATTTATGTTATTTGCCCTAAAAAGTATTCTGACTTTAGGCCACATTATTTAGGTCTGTTTTTACACATAACTTGTATATGCATATAAAAATTGTTCCCTACTAAATTCATGGCAATTACAATGAATTGGGCTTATCTTGCCACAATAAAGTGGCTACTTTGTGATCATAATCCTATAGATCAAATATGGTGAAGAGTATCAAGAAGTACAGCCCATGCTTATTTTGGGCTCACTCTCTTCCATGCACAAGGCCTCAAATGTGGTATATCCTCCAACATGATTAAATAGGGGAATTTA